TAAAGAAAGATAAACTCGAGGCTTTTATAGGTAAATGGTCACAACTAGAGACCATACTCATAAGTGAAATAAAGCACACATCTTTTTAATGAAGATACTGCGCAGATAATCTCCAAAGCTCATTCCATTCCTAAAATAATGTAATTTTTAAAATTTTTAAAAGATGACTTTTTAAAATAATAATTTTTTAAAAATAGATATTTATGATTCATGCACACATAAATGTAATATTTTGGTGGTTAACAGTTTAACTGATCAATACTGAAGACTTGTTTTCTTTTTGATTGGTGTAATAATTGTACAAACTGTTAGGGTACAGAGTGATAATTCAATGTTTATAATGTTGATGTTTATAATGATTAGATAATGATAATTAGATTTCCATCTTTCTGTCACAATTTTATGGTTAGAGCCTTCCAATGTCTCTCTTCTAGGTCTTCATATAATATAGATTGTTCTAAACTACAGTCACCCTACTGTGCTATAGGACTCTGGAACTTAGCGGGCTGTTAGGTGGCCACCTCTGGGATGCTGGGGAAGTAGACAGTAAATAGGTGCCCTGCACCAGCTGTATGAGGTAGGCGGATAAATAATCACCTGGAATTCAGGAGACTCCCTTCCTGGTCCTCACTGGCCAAGCAAATGGACCTCCACATGCACCCCCACTCCTCTCTTCCTTCCTCACCGTTCTCGCTACTTGGGACATGCTAGATGTTTTACTACAGCCGCTCCACTGAAATCTTTCTTTCATGATCCTTCTCTGGTTTTAGGCAACTTATTTTTGCACTTCATTTATTTAATCCAGGGGCGAAGATACACATTTAAGAAATCTAGTCACTATTAAATGCAGGATTCTTTACTTGTATTATTAAAAATACTTTTATAGTTGTTTTAATGAGGTAAAATTTATATACCATACTTTCACTTATTGATTTTTAGTAAATTTATAAAGTTGTGCAACCGTCACCACAATCCAGTCTTAGAAATTTTTCATTTTCCTCCAAATTTCTGTCCCACATATTTGCAGTCAATCCACCTCTTTACCACTCCAGACACTGGTAACAATGGCTCTGGAGTCTGTACAAATTTGCCTTGTCTGGGAATTTTATAAATGGTTCCTAATGTCTGATTCTGGCTTCTTTCACTTAGCATGACATTTTTGAATTTCATTAGTACTGTCACATACATCAGTAGTTTTGTTCTTTCAGTTGCTGGATAGTATTCCATTGTGTGAATATACTACATTTTGTTGTCCATTCATCAGTTGGCAAGCATTTGGCTTTTGTCCAGTTGTGGGCTATTAAGTATAATGCTGCTGGGAGTATTCATACACAAACATTTGTGTGGATTCATGTTTAATTTCTCTCAGATAGGTTTCTAAGAGTAGAGTCCCTGAGCTAGTTGTGTACTAAGGCTGTATTTACCTTCACGAGAAGCTATTACTTGTTTTCTGCAGTGATATCATTTTAAAGGGGCCGGGACACAGCTCAGCGGCACAAATGCCTGCCTGAAGCGATATCATCTTATATTCCTATCAGCAATGCATGAAAGTTTCAATTTCTCAAAATCCTTGCCAGTACTTGGTCTTGTCTGCCCTTTTTATTGCAGCCATTTTAGAAGGTATGTAACAGTATCTTATTGTGGTTTAAGTTTACCTTTAGTAACTATGAATGTTGGGCACCTTTCATATTCTTATTGGTCATTTGCATGTGTTTCACAGAATCTTTCTATTCAAGTCCTCAGCCCACGTGAATTGCATTGCTTGGTATCTGATTGTGAGGTGCTGCGGTTCTATGTCATAGTTTTCCAGTATGTGGCTTGTCTATTTTCTAGTGATGTCTTTTGAATTGTTGTGCTTTTGGACAACAAAATCATATTTAAAATTCTTTGCTTAACTCAAGGTCATAAAGATTTTCCCCTACATTTTCTCCTGGAAGCTTTGTGATACTCATTCTTACCTTTAGGTCTATGATCTCTTGAATTTTTATACATGGTTTGAGGTAAGAGTTGGAGTTCGTGTATTACTTATTTGATATCTAGTTATTCGGACACCATATGTGGAAAAGAGCAGCCTTATTGTAGCACCTTGGCATTTTACACATATCATTTTATTAAACTCTTCTCACAAATCATATTAAATGGATTCTGCAATCCCAACTTCATAGATCAGTTCACAGACTCCTTGAGTTGAACCAACACACCACAAATCCATAGCTAGTAAGTGTCAGAACCAGGATAGGAGTTATAGTCTACTCAGGTATAAAATCTCTCTTCTTATTAATATTGAAAAAGAATTTCCCCGCATGCGCTCGCCTACAACATTAAATAGACACTTCCTGAGGTTACACAGCATTTATTCCCTCTTGCCCCCATAACCTAAGCACAGTACTTGCTCATCTGAGGGCTGTATTATGAGACACCCAACTGATATAGCGTAATATTTATCTGAAAAGAAATGATAACTTTATACTCTAGACAGCTTATTTTCTCCATTTTGTTTATATTTATCACTGACCAACATAGACTTTCACACTAAAGGGGACGCTTTTAGGAAAGAATTGCTAACTTCCCCATAAAATCATTCACTGTGTATGTACAGAAGGTTGTTCAGGAGCCATGGGGAATGAGAAGGATCTTCTCATCTATCAAGGAGCTTTGAGGCAGCATAAAACAAAAATCAGGTAAACACTTGCAAAAAGTGACAGAAAAGTTTGGCTTGGGAACCAAAGGGGTTTAGTACTGGCTTTGCAAAGATTTATCCAGTGACCTTTAGTAAGTCACTGGTTCTCTGTGCCAGTCTCCTTGCCTGTAAAGCAGTGGGTCCAGGCTGGGTTACCGCAGTGGCTTCCTTCTAGGATAGTTTTTGTTACACTGCTACTATGACATCCTCTGATGAGACATTGCCGGCTTCTCCTATTTGCAGACTGCACTGTGGATCTGTTTCGCTGTCACACGGGCAGGTGCCTTAATTACAGCTTTGTGTGTGACGGATATGATGACTGCGGGGATCTCAGTGATGAGCAAAACTGCGGTAAGTGGCATTGTCTCCCTAAAGATTTTGATCAGAGTCACAGAAATTTATAACCAGTACATTTAGCTCATTATCTGTTCATATAATGAATGTATTAAATTATAAAGTTGGTTGGTTTCTTATTTTTCCAGAAGGAGGAAGTTTGTTCAATTACCCAGTCCCATCTTATGTGGAAATACTTCACACATAAAGTCATGTGAGGAAATATCAAGGAAGCTGGGCAAACTTTGTTAGGATTCTAATATACTTGTTCCTGTATAATGTGCTGTTTCTTCTCTGCTTGCAGCCTGGGATTATACTTGGATTTGGGCTCTTGAGCAAAGCTTTGAGACAGTCATTTACATTTAAGCAGCAGCCCTTTCTGTACTTGTTTCCAAGCACCACAGGGCTCCTGAGTAGCTACAGCCAGGGCTGGGGGGGACACATTTGCTTTGTAAAAATACTGACATCAGCTTTTAAAGAATAAACCTGCCTTTTAAAGAGTTATGCTAATTTCTGAATGTCACCTTGGGAATTTAAACTAGCAAAATTATTCAGTGTATGGATTTTTTGCCTTTGAGATTAGCTTTGGAATGTGTAGGTACTGTAATAGGGACTGGCAATAGGAACTTTGCCACATGAATGTCAAGGAAGCTGGGATGGGGACCGCATGTGATGTGAGACGGTGCTCTGTGTTAGAGCGCACGGAAAGCAGCGTTGGAGAGGAGCAGGGGCATGAGATGAGGGATGTGTTGCAGTGGTGAGGGTCTGATTCATAAAAGTACTGACAAATAGGTAGGTCAGTGATGCCGAATCTTTTAAAGACCCAATACACAAATACCCAACATTGCAAAGCGCCAACGTTGCAATTAAACCTGAATGCTCGGCTCCTGGGGCAATGCTGGGGTGACTTGGTTTGTGTGCTGGCAGAGAGGGCTCTGTGGGCCCTCTCTGGCACAAATGCCATAGGTTTGCATCCGCAGGTACAGTGTACAGGCCATCTGATGAGTAAATAGATGCAGTTTATTTCCTTGGATTTACTAGACTTGAAGGAAGAGAGAGAATTATAATTATATCCATCATAGAATCTATAGGTTCAGGATGCCTCAGAGATTGTCTAACTCAACCCTTTCTTTCTCCTGTGAAATAACAGGAAGTGTGGGGTCAGTGAGTATAGCTTGGCAGCTGGAGAGGGCAGTGGAGAGGGACAGGGTGTGGTTACTGCGAGAAAAGGGGCAGTCTTTCCACTCAACATGAGGCCTCTGATGATAGAAGGTCATCATCAAATTTATGTTCTCAGACGGTCTTCATTCAATGGCAGTGACTACGACTTCTCCCTAGACTCTCATCCCTAGCAGCTGAGCCAGGGTGGCTTTTCTAGTTCTTATCCAAGTGTCTCACCTCGTGTGTTTCCTCTGCACTGTCTTCTGTGAGATTTGTTTTATTGTCCCCAAATACTTTTAACATCCATGGTCCTGGTCTCTCAGGGGTCTATGGCAGTGACTCTGTTAATGTAAGGGAAACAGGGGACATTTCCATTGTTAATGCTGCTGTCTCTAAATCCTTGCACATCTTTAAAGAGGTGTTCACACATAGGTTGCATAATCTCTCATGGCAAAGCCCCTTCTGGGGTCCACCTTTTGTGAGAAGAAACTTATCATTTAGTGATACGTTTTTTTCTTCCAGGGAAATCAAGATGGGGTCAGAGTTTTAATCTAGAATCCTGAAAGTATTTTGTTTTGTTTACTGAGCAATTCTTTCAATAATGAGCTATATATTAAGATAGTCCAGTAGAAAACTTCAGCTTAGCATCAGGAAAATGAGATAAGGAGATATTTACTTTCCCGATTTAGCAGAAAGGTGAGGTAACTATTGTTGGAAACATGAACTGTTGATTTGAATTGATATAAAAACCACAAATTTGTCACAAGAAAACTGAAAATGACAATAATAACAAACTTAGGGCCATGGGCAAGCTGGACAGAGTTGTGGTTAATCTAAAAACAAACAAACAAACAAAAACAAACAGACACCACTTCCCTGGAGCAACATGGGCCATGGGCCCAGGCTCTGTACAAGGTACTGCTTTAATTGTGTCAGGGCCAACATGGAAATGTTATTGAAGGTAGACTCCTACTGGAACGGTAGGAGTCTTCAATTGGAGTCTTTAATTTTTCTTCAATTGGAACTGTAAGCCATGCAGTTCCAAGTGTTTTTCAAGTCAGTTCTCCCATCTTCATGAATTTTCTTTTCTCCAGACTGTGATCCCACAAAGGAGCATCGCTGTGGGGATGGACGCTGCATTACGTTCGAGTGGGTATGTGATGGTGACCACGACTGCACGGACAAATCTGATGAGGTCAATTGCTGTGAGTATGCTGAGGATTCATGTATTGCTTAGTTTTCCATTTCTGCTTATTCAGCTCATACTCAGGCCTCACAACCTAACAGCATTCAAAGGGAAAGAGTCTCACATGGTACCTTGTTTCTTGCTTGTAAGTAACAGTGCGGTGTGCCAGACTTCAGGTCCTTCTCTGCCAAAGTCCAAGTGTAATTTGGCGGATCTGGTGCAGCAGGTGTCTGCTTTGTCTCTCACTGCTCACTCTCCTTTATGATTTTGCCAAATGTGATACTCTTTCCAAAGACCAGAGGACCCTTTTTCTGCAAACGATATACGAGCAGCTAAGCTTCCATGAAGGAACCTCCAAAAGTGTTCTCAGGGGCCATTTGAGTGTGGATATGAAGCACATGACCAGGGAGAAGAGAACCTGTCATGTTCAGATGGTGAAACAGAGCATGTGTGACAATAATTATCATTTTATAGCTTACTGTGTTTCTGAGTGAATGAAAATTTGGGGGTAGCTGTTACACTACCAAACCAGTAAGAACAAATGTGACTATCAACCATTTTTCCTTCTTAGAAAAGATACTGTCCCACGCTGGCAATAATAAAAATTACTGAACAGTGATAATTATGTACGTGATTAATCTGAGTTAATCACGTGAATGCAGTATGATGCCTTTCACGAGAGTGCTGAGTAAAACATGCCTGGCAGTGGGCTTTCAGAGTGCTGAGTAAAACATGCCTGGCAGTGGGCTTTGATTCAAGACCAGGGATCTTAT